TACGGCCAGGAGCCCCTAGTAGCGTCCTTGCTCCTAGTAGTACGGCCCCGAGCCCCTAGTAGCGTCCTTGCTCCTAGTAGTACTGCCAGGAGCCCCTAGTAGCGTCCTTGCTCCTAGTAGTACGGCCAGGAGCCCCTAGTAGCGTTCTGACTCCCTTTGAGGAGTTGCCGAGGTGCCAGGGCCTTTTTTCGGCCTGGTGCCAGGCTTTTCTTATGCACGAGTGAGTGAAGTGAAGTCAGCACACATGGCCAGGTCTTTGGGAGGTGTTTTTACATGTTTTTACCAAATGGTGGGGACAGGGCGATCGGCTTTCGCAATGAAACGAACTGCCAGTCTTTTTGGATCAATCAAATTCTTTCCACCACTCCAAAGCTCTCAGGCGCATGATCCCTCCTACCAACTGAATCCATTCATTACGTTGACATTGTATCACCATCAAATCCTGGAACCTTCTGCGTTTTTTTGCAGCACGGTTTGACCGGGTCACTCGGCTTGTGAGCTGAGAAGTCTGACACGTGGCACGGGGCATCTGGGAGAAAGCTACGGGAGATCTTGATCATGAAGCTCTATCATCCTCTATCTACGCACAGGATGCGTCTCATGGATTTCCACCCTGGCACTTCAATTCAGGGTTTTCCCCAAAGCTTGTCTTCAGGAAGCATCGCCAAGACACTACACCTCAAGTATTTGTGGTTCGGTTTGTTTGTTTAAGTTTGTTTGAGTCATCCGTTTCTCAATGGATGGAGTTTATAGTTCAAGAAAAGTCGAAAGAACACCTGATTTGAAGACCTTCCTTTCCGGACCAGGTGTGACCGGGTGGTACCATGCAAGACCAAAAATCGAGGTGAGATCCCACAACTCAAACATACCCATGTGGCAACTGCTGGAACGTCCTCAGGCTCCTTAGAAGCGTCGATGCTGACGCTCTTTCAGCTCATGGCCTTTCCCAACATGGACCGGCCCCCGCGATGCCGAGATCGCCGGACGGACCCGCGTTTCGAGAATTCGTCGAGGAACGCGGGTCGGACAGCCGAGAGATGAAGGACGATCCGTCGTTTGGAGCTGGACCAAACCCAAACCAAGTGCTTCTGCGCTTCTAGTCTGCCACCACATGGTTTTCAACTCGGTGCAAAATAGGTCATAAGAGCCTGGTGTGGTTACAACTGGAGTGGTTACAACTGATTACCTGGTTACACCTGGTGTGTTTTGATATGTTTTGATCATAAGAGTGGTCCCGGACATCGACCTCTTGACCGGACACGTCCTCGCCACGAGGAGAGGTTTCAGCCTGCCGGGCGTCCCCAGAGCGCCACCGGACGTCGAACCGTTGGGACGCCGTGGAGCATGTTTGGGGGGGGCAAACTCCAAGAGCGCAGCTTGATAGCTTAAGATGATAGTATTGAAACGTCTCCAAACCTGTGGGAGACGGAAGGAGACGGAAGTCTCATCAGATCCGCTTGGTTGATTTGGCAATCAGCTTGGTGTGGGTTTAGAGTTTGATTGTTCGCCAAATGAGCAACTGCCAAAAACCTCCGATGAAGGCAGCATCACTACAGTGAAGACTCAGACTAAGTAAGTAAAGTGAAGGAAACCTTCAGGAACGATCAGGTTCACAGAAAAAGCAACAACGTTGGGAAGAGTGCGCTTGTTACAACACATAAAGAGTCGTTGCACGTCGCTCAAATGACTTTCTGTAGTTTGACCAAACCTAAAAAGTCAGCTCGCTTTCGGTTGAACCGAGAAACCATTCAGCAAAGTCATCCTGTGCCACCTGCTGGCTGCCAAAGCGACATTGACGTCGCCAAAGTCCATGGTTTGGTGCGACAATGTCCCGTCAGAGAACAGAAGATGGCCTCGATTTCCGTATCGTAGTCATCCAGGCCGCCCAGGCCCCAACTTGGACATTGTCGTTTGGCCACTGACTGTGTTGTTCCCTTTGTTTTTGCCCTAACCTTTTCCCAGCTGATACAGTTTAGTGAGTGGATCAAGAAAAATCCAACACTCGGGAAATCTCAGGAAGTGTTTTTTCCTGGTGTTTTTATTGGTTCGTGTGAGCGTCGTGGTTGAGGTCTTCAGTGAGAACCCTTCCCTGAAGATCTTTTTCGTGATTTTCGTCATCTTTGGTGCCTTCATGATGGTTCGGCCGTCAGTGTTCTTTGAGCTTGATGACCTTGATGGTCGAGGGCCATACAGGAGTGTCCTCATGAAAGCTTCTTGAGCAGGATGCAATCGGAGTGAGTTCTTGCAACTTCAAAAGAAGCACAAGAAAACTAAATGTCCTGGAGAGCTGTAGATGTAGCCCAGTTGACTCCTGGAATGCAGAATGCAGACCAATCGTTTTGCTGTTTTTTTTTCTAGTCTTCCGAAACGGTTTGAGTCACTCATTGAAATTGTGACGGTTTCTTCTTCGTTCGTGAGGCCAGTATCTTGACGGGCGTGATTACAGAGGGCATGATCGAAAAGAGCCGACAGCGCCAGGAGACCACACCGCGCATGTCAGGGCTGGCAACTGGTGTAGGGCGTGAGGTCAAATGGGAATACTTGGTTCAGCAAGAAAGAACTAGCATACAATAAGCAGGTGTGGTGTCCCCCTCTCTCCCTGCTATAGCATGCAACAACAAAAATATTATCAGACATTATCAGACATTTGGTAGGCATTATATAATACGCCTGGGCCTAGCCGCCTAGAGGCCTAGAAAGACCCAGTTCCACTCGGCATGGAGCGGGG